CTTCTAAAGGTCCTGATTTCAATTCCCAGCAACCACATGGTGGCTCACAACTTGAATGAGATCCAGTGCTATATTCTGGCATTCAGGCAGAAGACTGTATAGACTGTATATATAATAAATAAATAAAATCTAAAAATAAAAGGAACTTGTGAAAAACATTGTAGCCTATTGAGGCACTGCCTATTAATTGTCAGTGAAGTCAGTGTGACCATAGAATTGGTGTCACTTCTGTTTGTAGGATGAAGCTGTACAAGAGGTAAAAACACATGCTGCGGTAATGTGAGAACTTAAGGACTCTCTTCTGTTTGAAACAGTGCTGTGTGTAATATTACAGCATTTAACTAAACTTCTCAAAGTCACTCTCCTTTAATCCCTATTTGTTCTAGTCTCCCTCCCTCCCCCTCCCTCTTCTTTGTTTTTTGTTTGTTTGCTTGGTTTTTTGTTTGTTTGTTTGTTTGTTTTTTGTTGTTGTTGTTGCTTCAAGACAAGGTTTCTCTGTGTAGCTTTGGAGTCTGTCCTGAAACTCACTCTAGATCAGGCTGGCCTTGAACTCACAGAGATCCACCTGCCTCTGCCTCCCAAGTGCTGGGATTAAATGTAGACAACACTACTGCCTGGCTTGTTCCAGTCTTTCCTACTGGACAGATGATTTGTGTGTGTGTGTGTGTGTGTGTGTGTATGTGTGTGTGTGTGTGTGTCACAAACACAGTTTGGTGACTTTGATCTCACTGAGGTGATCAAGTACTTTTTATTTTTACCCTTAATATTCTTAACACTGATGATTTCCAGAACAACTTCTTTTGTGTCTGAATTCACACACTCCCAGCAACTTTTGATGAAGGAAATTCTCAGAATGAGACATAACCTAGAATAAGTGATCCCTTGTATACCAGTTTCCTCATTGCATATTTCTACACATTTAAGAGGTGTTAAAATTTATAAACCAGCAGATGAGACATAGAGAATAACTTAACATACCAAAGGTGAACATATTCTTCAGTCATAATGATGAGAGCCCAGAGTTTCCCTACCACAGAAGGAACATTGTGCTGAAGGTAGAGGCGACATGGGAGCTTTATAAGATTATATATTTAGATAAGTGTGTTATGGGTCCATTGCACATTATCACAATTTTTAGTATTCAGAAAACTTAGTAATATTCTGCAAATAGGCTTTTAGGAGGATCTTGTGGGTTTGATATTTCAATAGGTTGAGATGTAAGGATATAGCTCAGTCATTAAATGCTTGTGTTGCAAGAGTGACAGTTTGAGTTCAATTTCTTAGAACCGAAAGAGAAGCAGGACATGGCAGTGCACAACAATCCCAGTGATGGGCAAGTGGGACAGGTAGAACCTCAGTCTCAGTGCCACCAGCCTAGCCAGATCAGCAAACTCCAAACCAAAGAGAGAGCCTGTCTCAAGAAACAGGTAAATAGTATCTCAGGAACAACGTCCAAGGTTGTCCTTCAGCCTCCATAGGCACATATGTACTAGAGCACACACGGACATGTACACAAACACAAAATGGTCTGGTTGGTACTGAGAAATGTATATATGACATGCGTATTATTTATTTTTCTAAATATTTGAACAATGTCATAATAATCAGACTTTTTTCTTAATTATGTAATTAATTCAACAGTCCTGGGATCTGTACCAAATCCAGAGTAATAGACTTGTATTTGAGATATGGATAGAAAACATTGCCAGTTGTGTGGTACATGCCTTTAATTCTAGCACTAGGGAGGCAGAGACAGGCGCACCTCTATGAGCTGGAGACCAGCCTGATCTACACAGCAAGTCCAGGGACATTCAGGGCTACATACCTGTCTCAAAAATTCAATAAAGAAACAAAGATAAATACCAGTGGCATCTGGGTCTTGTACGAGCGAGGTGTTCAATGATGCTAGGATGCTTCATAAAAAAGTAGGCTCTACCTCCTGCTACAGTCCAGAGCTGAAGTAGAAAACCTCTTCTTTCTGGTCAGTGCCTACTAAAACCTCTGAGCATGTAGATCACAGAGCCAAGAACAGTTGCCACCTATGTGGTCTGTAAGAATGGAACATGGCTTCTCCATTCCAGTGTCATATGGCCTTGACATAGGGTGTACAGTTTTACATTTCTGAAATGGCTGATTTTATTCTTAATTTAGAAATGGATGGGGTAATGATGGCCCACACTTTAATCCCAGCACTTGGGAGCCAGAGGCAGGTGGATCTCTGAGTTTGAGGCCAGCCTGGTCTACAGAGCAAGTTCCAGGACAGTTAGAGCTGTTATACAGAGAAACAATATCTCGAAGAACCATTGGGGGGGGGGTTCAGAGAGAGAGAGGGAGGGAGGGAAAGTTCAGGCTCACAAAGTTTAAAGATTTTTATTTTAGTAAGCATGACTGTATGTTAAATTGTGGATTAGAACTTTAATCTGATTATAAACATTTTTTAAAGCATGACTGAGAAGAAAATACTGTGTGTAACTTTTAGTCTAGTTATACTACCATGTTATTACATGAAAAGAACATGGCTAACACCACTTTAAGAACCCACAAACTAAATCCCTTCCATTTTAATTAATATGACTGTTCCTACCCTTCCCCTACTGTAAAGAAGGAAAACATCTTCCTACCCTTAGTAGACAAAGCTAGTCAGCTAGTGTGTGTGCAGAGGGCAAGTCCTCCAGCCACATTCTTAACTTGGTGGTGCCCCGCCCCACCCCACCCTGTCCCCCACCTAGGCGTAGCCCTGAGAATGGCTTTTAGAGACAGAGGGTTGATCAAGGGAAGTATTCTTAAGAAGCTTTCAGAGGTTTGAACAGAGTTGCTTTTGTCTTCTAGAAGGAACCCCGGGCTGAAGAGAAAAGACAAAGCACAGACTATAAGCTAAAGGAAACATAGACACAAAACAAGACCTGACAAATGGGATTCAGTTTGCAGAATTAGTTCAGAAACAGTAAATTCATGCGCTATTTTATACAGCATGAGAAGCTGGAGTTTGGGAGGCACAGCATCCCAGCACAGGAAAGCTCTAGTCAGTTTATCGAACATTTTTACTGCTTTGTAAAACAGCAGAGCCCGTGGTCTCTAAAGCCAGTCCTCTCCTGGGCCTTGCTAGTTTAGCTGTCCTGAAACTTGCAGTTCTGGATTTGTGTTTTGGTACCGGTTCCCTGGAAAATTCCACATGGCATTAGTGGGAGAGGTTGGTAACAAGAAAACAAAAGTGCTTTGGTGCCTTTAAATGAAACAGTTTCCCCTAAGTAACTGCTTAATGTGTACATAATTTATTATATTAGTAAATATAAAGTGGCATTATGCAACACTATTGTTTTCATTGAAATACTGGGGTTTTGGTTTTTTGTTGTTCCTTCTCCTCCTCCTTTTCCTTCTCCTCTTCCTCCTCCTCCCCTTCTTCCTCCCCCTCCACCCTCCTTCTCCTTCTCCTCCTCCTCCTCCTCCTCTTCCTCCTCCTCCTCTTCTTTCTTCTTCTTCCCTTTCAAATCACATTCAAATTCACCAAGTGAATTTTAAACCTTATTTCACCATGAGATTTCTCTGGAGTGTAATTCAGTCATTCACAGAAGACTAGGAAATACTTCTCAATTCTGAAACCTTTTCCATTGATTAGAGTATTACTTAATACTTGTTGACTATTCACAAGGCTGGGTAATGTACTCATGGGCAATAGTATGCCTTGTTCTTCAGATGAACATTATCCTAGAAACTTCCTTTTCATGAGTTCATGGCCAGGCATCTGCTTTTCTCTCATTTGTTGCAAGTTTCTTTCTCAGCAAGGCTCCTGCTCTACCTGGATTCTCCCAGCACATTGTTCCTGGTTTCATAAACATGGCTTTTGTGGCGCCATTAAACCACTTTATTATTCATTAACTTCATTTTCTTTTAAAATTTCTGTTGAACGTATAGCAGAAACAGTTCATCATGTGATGTTCCTATCCTCGAATTTGCAGACTGCTTGGGAAAAATAAAAATAATTGTCTTCACTTCTTCTGGTGACCTGCAGTCAGGCATCTCCTTCTCTCTTCACTTCAGGGCATTTCCCAGGGACTGCTCCCTCTAAAATCAACAAGAAGCCACAAAACAGTTTGGATACATTTCACGAAAATTCATGCATCCTTAGCCCTAGGGCCACATGAAAGAGTCCTGTGGGTTTTACTAACCCTCACAACAGTTTCCCAGGATGATGTCTGTCTTGGTGTCAGGACTCTAGCCACAGTGCTCCCTGGATGATGTCTCCTGGTATCAGAACTCTAGCCATGATGCTCCCAGGATGACATCTGTCTTGGTGTCTGGAGTCTAGCCATGGTGCTCCCATGATGTGACTCACTCTTTATTACCAACTGACCTTCTGAAGTTGGGATCTTGAGATTTCAAATTTCTTTGTTTATTTTTACAGTTTTCTTTGCCTGCTGTTTCTCCCCTTATGTTTTTTCCATCTCCCATTTCCTTCAGCACATTTTCCATCAGCTCTTCCTACTATCATCTGCAGCTTCAAAAACAGGCTTTTGTCAGCTACCTGAAAACATGAACAGTCCGTCCACTGGGCCAAAAAACTCTCTCCTCCAAACCACCAAGCTTATGGAAACAATAACGCATGCTTGCTTTCTCAGTTCTTACCATCTGTCCTCCTCTGACCTTTCTGTTCTACTTGTACTGTGAAAATTGATTCTGTCAAAGGTCACTTAAAGGTTCCCTTGGTGTAACCCATGTTTTCATTCATCAACTCAGAAAACATTATATCCTTGCTGCACACTGGGCATGTGCTGGATGCAAGAAGGAACTCATCTGCTTTCGTAACCAAATTCTAGCCTCTAAGGGCACCACGCACTCGAATGGTACAAAGACATACACTTCAGCAAAATACTCAGAAACATATAATAAGCATTAAAAAACATAAAGTAAAATATAAAATGTTCTAATCAGATTGAATGTGTCCTTTTTTAAATTTGTGGGGCATTGCTAATAAACTTTTTAATTTTTAAAAATTCTTTTAGAGCCAGTTCGAAGATACAAAACTTACCACAGTGATATCTTTAGTACCTCCAGTGAAAGCCCATCTATTATCTCCTTGGAATCAGATTTCAGACAAGGTAAGCGCACCTAAAACAAGCAAAGTGTCTTTTGTAAGAAGCAACTATCACTATTTTTTAATATTGAGACAAAACTTGTCAAAATGTTAAGTTGTAAAATGTTTCCTTTGAAAATTGTTATATCAAATAATAACAGTTTGATAAAACAGTGATACAGTCATTTCATCATATAGGAAGGAAGTCATTGTCTTTAAAACTTAACCTGACTAGCCAGGCATGGCAATGCACACCTTTAACCCCAGCATTGGGAGGTAGAGGCAGGCAAATCTCTTGAGTTTGGGGCCAAACTGGTCTATGTAGTGGGTTTCAGAACAGCCAAGGGCTATAGAGGGAGACCCTATCTCAAAAAGAAACAAGAAAATGAACAAGAACAACAACAATGAAAAAGGTGATGTTACTTGGCCTTAATGTTACAGCATGTCATTGCCCACATGATGGTGGTTCATGCAAATTATCTTATTTCTGCTTTCATGTTCTTATCACTTCTACCATTATTCTATTTTTATTCACAATTAGTGAGACGAAGTGAAGCTTCAAAGAGGTTTGAATCTAGCAGTGGTCTTCCTGGAGTTGAAGAAGCTGGTCAGGGCCAGTCACAGAAACCAAGGTATGGCTTTGGAAGCACTAATTTCTGGTCACAGGAGCATGGGTTGGGTTTGGTTTGGTTTGGTTTGATTCTCTTTAATTGCAGTTGGCACTTGCCTTTTTAATTGCCAGTACAAATAGATATAACACTCAAGAAGGTTAGGGCATAACATTAAAAGTCTGAAAACATAGTAAACCTTTATTTCTAAAATGTAAATAGTAGTTGTCTGTACTTTGAAAGACTGGGGCAGCTCAGGTATTCAACATGAATTGGTTGAATAGTTAATGATATTAACACAATATAAGCTATTATGTAAAAAGTTAATTATTCACTCACTGGTTGATTTCAAGAGGTTCTCCGGCATATTTCTACAGCCTGTTTGAAGCTGTGTAGTGCCAACTTCACACTGAATGAAATACTTGGCAAATTTCTTATGAGATATTAGTGTTTGCATGTCCTAGATCTGGGGTAATTGTGTCATAGTTATGTATATTTTCCTTTGTTTAAATTGAAAGAGTTTTTGGACAAGCAGTCACTGTATTGTTTGTGTCACTGTAACGTGTATACACTTACCTTGCATGAACGTAGAGAATGCTCGTTTAAAATCTGTAATGTGATACTTGAGATTCAAAGTTGGCTTGAAAGTGTTTTTCCAAAAAACATTAAAATTCCTTAACTTCACTGTTCGCTTACTTCAGAACCTAAGAAAAATCTTCTGGGAAATTTCAAATGTTTGTCCTTAGCTAATGAATATGCCAGACAATGTCCTTACCTGTGAACTATTAATAGACCATGAAATCCTAGCTGTGCGATTAAAAGGTATTCATGGCTTAGAGCTCAGGTAGTTAAGCTCATGTACTAAAAACATTAATCCTTAGGTAA